GCTGAGTTCGTTCAATGCCACCGGCTTGGACAAGCCGATATTTGTCAGGAACAGGTCTAGCGTCGATGGGTTGCCAGCCGGTGGGATAAATGTTGGTTCATCCGAAAACCAAACGGAGTACAGCCCATGCTGTGAGTGGTCGAACAGCAGACGACCGTTCTGGTTCTGCTGGTAGTTCCGCCAGGCCTCATGGCGAGCATTCAGATCTCCTCCAACTACGAAGCGGGAACCGGTACGGGTGATGGTGGACAGATCTTTTTTGAATTTAGCCGCTAGTCCACTGTTGGCGGCACACTGTCGAGGGCAGTAGACGGCGATGAACTGGACGTATCCAGTCGACGACTCCACCTCCACACCAAGGGCCTCGATGATAGAGGTGCGGATATGAGACAGAGTGTGGTATTTTATTCCTTTCTTGACGACGACCGCAACACCACCCCCCCTGGAGCTGGTGCGATCAAGCCGAATAATGCCGACAATTTACAGTTTCCACGCTTTACCAATGCTCGTACCACCTCTGATAGCGATGGCTATGCTTCCACCTCGTTTGTCTGCTCAGAGCAACAAATGACATTCGATAGATTTATTTACATCATCGTTTTGAATGATTAGTGCTAAGGGGCTGAGCCAATAAACCTTTTTGGCGTTTAATAATCTTTCTCTATTTAGCACACATGGATGAGAACGGTTTGTTTTCCCACTAATCTGTTTCCCTCTTGCTCGCACTCGTTCGATTTAAATGGTGCAGTAGTGTGCGCCGATGAAACGTCAAAAAGCTCAATACCAAATTAATTTCAATTTAAGATGACTACCATTCTACAGAGAGCATTACGCATTCCAACTGAAGGCCCTATCTCTTTTCAAAACAATGTTCATCCTGTATTCGAGAGAAAAATCATCTGATTTCAAAACAGCCGTCATCCGGTTGCAGCTATCATTCGGAAAGGCGATTTCGATGTTTCGATTTGAATGGTCTGAGGTTTCATTCGAACAGAGGACGGTGGTTTGATACAGTGTAGGGTAACTTAATGACGGTTCAGCAAACGATCGATAATCGCATCAACCGACAGTAAACACTGGTTGAAAAAGGGCGGAGTCGCTTGAATGAAACTTGCACTCATATCCGCTTCGAACGCTCCTCGGGGAAACCATCGAAGCATATTAGCAATCCGGTCGTGAAGTAACAAAGTGAGATCAATGCAGTTAGGGACCATCCTCCTCCCTCGCAGTACATTTTGCTTAAGGTGATACGATCTAGAAGCCCGGCCTCTGATGCTACTTCACATTTTCCAGGCGATAATTATCTGCCACCGGAAAACATATTTGTGGATGCTGACTCGTATCACCTTAATAACTAGCCGGTCACATCTTCTGAACGTCATGGGAGGATCATTTCTCAATTTCTCTACCGTAATGATAGTGCACATCGACCTAAAATATTTAGTTATTTATTTTACTTACACTTGTAGTTCAGACATTTGGTTTTGTTCTAAGCATATCGAAAACTTAAAAAAAGTGTTCAAATTTGTTCGGAATTGAATTGCATTCGGTGAAACGAAACAAACACAAATACTTTCATTTTTTGTACAAACTGCATGAAATTGGAGGAATCCAATTTTGTGTTTCATTACTTTTCAAATGACTGCGCTCTTTTTTGGGTTGAATGAAATCGGATTGCAGGGCAAACGGTGTCAATTATCCTATAAATTTTACTACAATTTGTCACGATACTGCCTTCGACAGGACTTTTTAAACATGAGGGGACGTGTCGAAAAAAATAATAAAATTTGAATCAAATTCCATTTCTCTAGTATTGTAATATTGTTTACCATTAGTTGTTCCGATCCTTATTCCTCTTTCAAATATTCTCTCTAGCTGCAGTAATGTTCATTTAAAAAAAACAACTAACCCCTTTCCTTAATAGTTATTCTCTGACTTACTTTTAACGTTCTCTATTTGCATAACCTTGTAGGTGATTTTTGTGTTGGCTCTCATGAAAAATCGCTTTTGATCGTAGTTGTCATTATATTGTTCGAGTTAATATCAATCAAGTTTTAACGGTACATCAGATCGTTCTTGGTGCTACTCGCATGAACTTATTATTTTTTTTGAATATTAATAAATACAATAACAAATTGGAAATGGTGGGTAAGAAACTAAACCTGTTGGACGGTGATTGTTTTTTTTTGCTTAATATCATACATTGTAGGATGACAACTGAAGAGGTACTTGAATTGGGTTTGGAATTGTGGAGTTTTAAGTAGGAATTAGAACTTTAGAGGGAAAAATGCACTGATTCGATAGAATACTAACACTATAATCACAAAAAAAAAGTAGAAAGAGATTCTACGCTTTAGGTTTTGGTATTTACAACACAGAAAGGAAGGATTCGACTGGTTACGAACTATTTTGAACTAAACAACGTAAATGGTGTGATGCTGTTCTGTAGCTTTTAAATAAGTAAATGACTAAAAAATAAACTGATAACCTATGTATGGGTCAAAATCCGGTCCGTTTTTTTTTCTTCAAGTGGAATGATTAGATCGATGGTTTTTTGTTTTGTTATTAATTGATATTCTATCCTGTCTGAGATAAGTTCAAGCTGCGTTTTGATAGAACGAAAATAAAATCGTAGTTTGATTTCTATTTCCTTTTGCCTTAGAGACCATGTGAGATTTTTGCAGTTCGGGAAGAGGTGAGACTCGATCGCCAAAGGCGTTTTGTGTGTTAAAAGTAAGATTTATAACCAAACTTTTGCTGGTCTCGCGTGGTCGAATGCTCTGCCAGCTGCTCTGTCATGACTGATGCGTTTTTATTTTTTTTTGTTTCTTCAAAATCGAATTTATGTGTTATTCCTAAAAATGGGTTCGATTCGCTTCAATCGAGGGACTGTATACGTTTTAATCGGTCAGTAATCGCCAATGAGATATCTACAAATTTTTAGTGCTGATGCCTTTGACCGGGAAGAGTGTTGACTGGAGATGTTCGGAGGAGATTTGGAGAAACAAAATGCTATAAAGGTTCTGTTCTTCGGTCCATCTTAGTATGCGAAGTGTTCTCTCAGAAGAACTTTATGGCGAATATGTTTTTTTTTATCCGAGTCGGAACCAGTTCCAACCCAGTGCGAAACTTTTTGTCAGCATGAACCTGGAATCTTAATACCTGATCCTGGTTGGCATTGAATCAAAAACAAATCCGGTATTAGATATCCAGAAGTACCTACTTTATCATATGATTTGGCTATAGATTTATGCCGCGCATACACTTGGATGACAAACTATGAGCATGAGCATGATTTGTATAATAATTAGAAGTACAATACAACAACTATACAAGTGTGACCATGGATGTGCTCATAAGTTATTATACAAATAATGCTCATGTTCATAGTTTGTCATACAAGTGTATCCGCGGCATTAGTATGACAATTTTAAGTGCGTTAGTGCCGTTACTGCCGTTAGTGCTTCAGACAATGAAAAGCATATTTGGCAACACTGCGAATTCGCTTTTATTTGGCACAAACGGCCATTGACTTCTCGGCGCAAGATCTCGCTAATACAACCTAGCTAGTTTAGTTGTGTAAAATCGATTTGTTTATTATTTTCAACCACGAAATCATCTGTCAAAGTGTCTGACTTGACCGTGGTTTGTTTTTTATTTTCAACCAGTTAAACGCATGGATTAGTGAAACTGCTCACTAATACTAACGGTGGTAGAGAATTCAATTGAGAATAACCCAGAGAGAGCGAGAGTCACTTCTACTTAGAGGTATGGGAAAATTTCTAAAAACTGCAGGTACTCAGCGCTGAGCAGGCATGGAAAATCATTTGCATTCATTTCGTGCATTTATTTACATTCATTTGTCCCTAACTTTTTTCAACAACAGAGTTCCGCAAAATAATGTATGGAGTTTTTGTAGGTTTTGTTATTAACTACAACTTTTGTTAACAACTTAAATCCGTATCTCTTATGCATGACGAACCAGAGCGAACAGAAGCCACTACTGTTTTTCAGTGAATGTATTTTACATTCACTGAAAAAAAGTAACATGTTCTGCCCGCTCTAGTTCGTAATGCATAAGAGATACAGATTTAAGTTATGACCAAAAGTTGTAGCTAATAACAAAACCTACAAAAGCTCTACACATCATTTTAAAGAATGCTGTTGATGAAAAAAGTTAGAGGCAAAGGAATGTAAATGAATGTATGAAATGAATGCAAATGATTTTCCATGCCTGCCTGTAGTTTTTAGAAATTTCTCATACACCTGAGCAGAAGTGACTTCCTCTCTCCGGGTTATTCTCAATGGCCATGCAGAGATCAGCAAAAGAAGTATAATTCAAGCTGAACATTGCATTAGGTCCTAAGTAACATTGACAGATTCTCTTCGTCGACTTTCTCTTTGTATCTCCACGGCCATGTAAAGACATTTCCAGGTATTTTCAGCACACAGATCGATAAAAGAACTTATTACCTAGCATCTAATACGACACACACAACAAGAAATGGGTTTGTGCTCAAGTTATTAACGAAAGAGAATGTGGCCGAAGAGAATCGATCAATGTTACTTAGGACCTAATGCAATGTTCAGCTTGAATTGTCATGGATGGCGCTGGTGGTGTAGTCGTAAGCGTCACCCTAGTGAGTTTGCTGAGGTAAACAAACCTGGTCACTTACTGTGGAAGGGAAGTAAAGCCATTGGTCCCGGCCCAAGTGTTAATGGGTGCTATATCTACCCTGGCATTCGATTTCCGTCAATGTATCGCGATCGATGTCCGTCGGTGATTGGCACTCGATTGCGGAACAGAAACCGACGTCATCAATCAATAAGGGCATGTTCATAAACTACGTAGACAGTTTTTTTTTGGGATTCATGACCCCCCCCCCTCCCCTCCCCCTGCGTAGACAATTGTCCATACAAAAAAAAATGTATGGGCCGTGGATAATTCTCGACCCCCAGCCCCCCTAAACTGTCTACGTAGTTTATGAACAGCCCCTAAGCAGAATAATTGTCATAATTATTGTTATTGTTCTATCCACAGTACAGAGCTCCCTTCATTTCTAGAATCAAAGTCAACTGCCCTGAAGTTTTTCCAAGTTCCATGATTTTTTCCAAGCTTTCTTAATTCGACCAAACTTCCTGGAACACCCTGAACCTTTTCTATGAATTTTCCTAAACATTTGGGCGAAATAAAGTTTCCAAAACTTCCAAAAAGTTCATTGAGCTTTTCTGAAATAAGCTCTTTGACAAACTGTTACGAAGATTCCTAAACTGATTCGAAGATTTAAGAAGTTCGTCAAAGTTCCCTAACTTTTTCAACGTGTCCTTTACTGTTATGAAGTTTGAAAAATTCCTCGCTTTGCTTCGTAATTCGCTAGATTTAAACAAAGTTCGCTTTCGTTGATTTTCTGCGAAGTTCCCTGAAGCTTCTAATGAATTCTCTGAATTATTCCAAGTCCATCAAGCTTCAACGAAGTACTCTGCATTTAAAAGAAGGTTTCGGAACTTTTATGAAGTTTCCAGAAATGAAACAAAGTTTTTTTTTAACTTCAACGAAAGTCCCCAAACTTGTACAAAGTTTCCCACTTCTTCGAAGTTTTCCCGAATGTTTCACCGAGCTTCTTTGAAATGTACTGAATTTCCATGATGTTTCTTTGAATATCAACAATGTCTCTAAAGTTGCTACGAACTTTAATGTGGGTAATGAAGTTTCCTGGATTTCTACAAAATTCGCTAAATTCACTGAATGAAGTTCGCTGCACTTCTACCATAGAGGTAACTCTAAGACTAGTAGGTCCCGAAGAAACGTGCTCAACTTTTTGGCTCAGCTCTGTTACTATCTTCGGTCCCAAGCTAATCGATTCACCCCTCGAAACATAGGAAAATCCACGAACCCCTCATTTTATCTGTCAAACTTTCATAGCGAATCAAAACAAACATTGTGTAGTACTTGAATTTTGACTAGAATGGGGTACGTTAATCGATTTGCTTGGGACCAATAGGCTAGTCAAGTAGTGAGCCAATTTAAAATCGTAAGTTTCGTATTGATTGTTGCTTCTACGAAGTTCCATGAACCTTTAAGTGGAAGCTCTACAATGTTTCCTGAATTTCTACGGAATTCTCTGAATTATTCCAAGTCCATTAAACTTTAACGAAGTACCCTGCAGTTAAAAGAAGGTCTCAGAACTTTTATGAAGTTTCCTGAAATGAAACAAAGTTTCCTTAACTTCAACGAAAGTCCCCAAACCTGAATAAAGTTTCCCACTTCTTCGAAGTTTTTCCAACTGTTTACAAAGCTCCCTGAATTTCTACGAAGTACTCTGATGCTCTACGAAGTTCACCGAGCTTCTTTAAAATGTTCTGAGTTTCTATGATATTCTTTTGAATATCTACAATGTCTCTGAAGTTTTACGAACTTCGATGGAGTTAGTTTTTTTTTAAGCTTTATTAAAGAGATTTTTAGCCTTAGGCTAGTTCATCTCTAGGATGGAGTTAGTGAAATCACTGAACTTCATCTAAGTTTTCCGATTTTCTACAAAATTCGCTAAATTTCGCTGAATGAAGTTTGCTGGACTTCTACGAAGCTCCATGAAGCAACAGCAAACGCACCGACAAACGTTAATTCTAGCGAGTTTTTAACAAAAAAGAAAGTTGACGAAGAGAATCGATCATCGCGTTTACGCCCTTATGCATGCTCACTGTCGGACTGATAGTTCATCCCGGCAATGAAAGCTTCCTCTGGCTTCGCTCAAAAAGATCTTCTGTCTTCTCCCACCAGTTTTCTTTTGCAACTTCCACGAAACTTCAAGGATGCTTTCAGAGTTTCATGGTGATTTCATTAGCTTCAGGAAAACTTCATAAAAGTCCAGAATTTTGGGTAAGTTCAAAGATCTGTAAGGGTGAGTTCCGATGAATTAAGGACAGTTTCATCAACTTCTGTTAAATATCGAAAACCCGAAAAAAAGTATTAAAAGTCTTAAAAAGGAAAGTCCAAAGAAGTCCAGTGATTTTAAGGAAACATAAGAAATATTGTCTAAAGGACTTAAGCGAAATTTAATTGTTTTCAGGACAGTTCTATTTATTTCAGGAGAATTGAGAGAACTTTAGAGATGCTATGAAAACATCAGGACAAATCAATTCATTCCAAGGTTTATGAAATTTTAAAGGAGTTTAAATTTTGTTCCGTCACTGTGAACTAGCCCAATCGATCAAAACATCTTGTAAGTTCAAATTGGACATTTTTTTTTTCATTTGGAAAAACAACTTTGGGCAATACTCAATTGAAACGCAAAATCGTTTAGCCTAGGCACAGACAAACAGATGTAACTATTTGAAAAAGTTTTTCTTGAAAACATAGTATGTCAAAACATAGGACCTCAGTAACGACATCTCTCTGGCTTCTCGCGGAAAACAAGCTTGCTCGCTAATACGCAAACAATATTGCATAAAAGTTCTATAGAATGTATAGAAACGTCAAAGTGATCCGATGCCAGCGCTGCGGCAAGTAGTTCGCGGAACTGATAATATTCAAGTCAACCGTTAAATGCGTGAACGAAGATACACAATGAAGTGGTACGTCTGTTTGTCTGTGGTTTAGGACTCAACCTGTAATCTATCCAGATGAAGAATCTGCTAACTGATCTCTTGTCCGAATTTCCCTTGCCAACCCATCCGTCAACCCCGACGAAGGCATCATTCAACATCTATGTTACTAAAATCAGATTCTAAACAGGAATAAGGGGAGCCTAGTACTCTTCATATCTCACACCGAACGCACCACCACCACTACCTCCACACTACCACCAAGACCAGTTGCCGCTCATTGCAAGTCCGTCCCATAGCACAAATCAACAAGTCTAAAAAGGGTTTTCTTAATTTGCTTCGAACCATTGGGACAACCTTCCAAACTTTTTTCAAACAAGAACGCAACTGCTCATTCCGCCTCAAACATGTTTGTTCGAAATCTTCAAACCATTAGATGTCATGGTCGCTGCCAAAATTAACCTAGTAAACCCACAAGTAACACAAGCCGGAATGAACATTTGCAATATTGGTCATCAGAAAAAAGTTGCCAAGTTGGTCCAATGCTAGGAAAACCCGGGTGATCGACTACCAGGGGACCGACTTGCACCGAGCGGCAGAGCAACCAGCTCACTTGACGAACGTCAAATTGTACGTCCGGAGCTCCATCGGTTCGAGGAAGATGTCCCCCACCGATCGCACTGGTGCCCCCGGGTGCAACCCGGTCAGCGAGGTGCTGGAAATTTGTTCGAGCTGTACCCCACCGAAGAGCTGCAGCCGGCTACTGTGCTTATCTACACTGTTACTATTGTAATAATTGTTATTATTAATGCTATTACTACTAGGACTTACGCTACTACTGCTATTGTTACAAAAATAATTCACTATCTCTTCGCCGCCTATCCGGCAGTTGTAACCTTGCCGGTGCAGCACCAGCAGGGCCGCGTTCGACGGGAACAGTGGCAGGTTACCCTCGGTCAGGGTACGGAGATTCAGAATGTGTAGATCACAGGGGAACGGAGTGGCTAGCAGCTGGACCGCCCGGTTCAGCTCTATCTGATTGCTTTCGTCGTACTTCTCTATAATGAACAAATTCGCCGGGTAGTTGAGCCCATTCGCCAGCTGATTGGCAAAAATGCTGGGGAGTTGGTATACATCGGGTTTGGGTTCATCTGCAGGCCCCGGAGGATTATCAGCCACTGCCGGTGCAGCACCGCCTTCGATGGTTTCCAGTATGACCCAGAATCGATGCCGGGTTAGGCGACTGTCTACGACGCCTTCGCCCATGCCACGGTAGTCGTCGTACAGCGTTCGTCTGTCTAGCATGACTTCCAGTTGTCCTGGTTCCAAACTGGCAGCGCCCTGAGCGTGAGTCGTCAGCAAGGTCAGCCTCATTTTGTTGTCTTGGATGAAGGCTCCACTGGTAATCGGGAAGTAGTTTCCTTCGATGCCGATTGACGGGACCTTCACCCGTTTCTGGTACTGGAATCCATTCAAATCCGAATAGAACTCTGGATTCTCGCTAGCTCCATTCTCGATGTCCGTAACGAACCGCATGAACATTTCGGTTTCCCGGTTCTTTGGAGGCATCTCGAAGTCGATGTCGTTTTCTATGTAGATTCCATTGTCCAAAACCGTGTTGGAGTTGAAGATCCTCACGGTGTGAGCCAGGAATGGTCCGTAGATAGCCGTCACGTCACTTGCCAGGGGCCCGGACGTGATCAGAATCGTCATGTCATTGTACTGCTCCAGTACTTCCTTCTCGGAGTTTCTCTGCTCCGGGTCCGTCTTGAACAGATAGGCGCCCGAGTGGAACTGCGCGCTCTTATATGCTGCAAACTTGATTGCACACTGAATCTGCTTACCCATGTTCTTCTTGGTGACCGACTTTAGGAAACCGCTCTGCTCGTCAAACAGTAGGCGCATTTTAAAGTTCTCCAACTGGATATCGCCCGGCTGTTTGTTCCGGATCTCGAAGATTTCATTTTTTTCGTCCTGGCACTCATTACAGTACAGGGTGGCCATCTTAGGTTTGAACTCATCGTCGTACGTAGCCGTGTAGGTCGTCAGCGACAGTGGTGCCAACTTGGCCACAAACATTATCTCGTACTCCTTCTCCGATGGAATGATCTTTCTGGAAGCAAACGACGTTTCCGTAATGTTCCACACCGGGTTGATCTGAATGTCCATTGGCTTTCCTTTCGGGTCCAGAATCTTCACCCGTGGAGTGAGGGTTCTAATCAGAACGACTTCCAGTCGCTCTTGAGCCAGTGCGTTGTAGACCACGAAGTCTGTGCTGCGAGCTTCCGTCACGATCAACGGAGTCTTTCGTGGAAGTTTACTGAAGTTGTCCCGTTCCAGTTCCCCGATCAGGAAGTTGTGCTCGGTGCTTTTCTTCTGAACGAGCAATTCGATCGTCTTCTCCTGCAGCTTGACCGAATCCTGGATGCTCTCAAACAGTCGCAAGGCATAGTCTCGCATGACGTTGCCTTTGGACGTTCCGGTGATGGCATCGTGATGTTGGAACAGGCCCAAGTTCCGCCTTGCCAAGATCATCTTCTCATAGTTCTTTTCGTAGATCTTGAAAGCATTCGAGTTACCGGATTGCCGTGCACGGTTGAACGCTAGCGTGAACAGAATCTCCGAGCTTCGCAGGTTGTGCTCAAGCTCCCGGCTGAGAATCTTGTAGTACGGACGGGTGGTAAAGTACCCGGACCAATAAGCTGGCCGACCTTCGTTGAAGATGTCGGCATAGACGAAGAAGTCACCCTTCAGAGTCGGAAACTTGTCGTACCGTTCCTTGATGGCGCTGAAGTAGTCCTTCGGAGTACCGAAGCTGATCTCCGTCTTGTACTTGTTGCGGTTCTCGTTGATGTAGTCGATCAGCTTTTTATAGTTGGTGTACTGTTGCTCCATTTCCTTCTCCTTGTTGTAGCGGAAGTCGTCACCGACGGGAATGAGTGCTACGTTATGCGGAAAGAGGGAAGCCGTTCGGGAGTACTGCTCCATGAGTAGATCGGCCTTGGATTCGATATTTTCCGGCGTGATAAACTGGGCCTTGATCGAGTACTCGGTGTACTCGCCGGGAATCTTGCGGAAGTCAAAGTTCAAGCAGATGAACGGATGAGGTCCACAGGAATGTTTAATCGAGTAGATGTCGAAGGGCATATTGTGGGTCAGCAGGGTGTGTTTACGGTCCAGCTGACTGGATGGGGTTTGCCAGTAGGGACTCCACATGAAGTCACCGTATCGATGGCGGGCGAACCACTGCTTCCACGCGTAGTGTATCCGCTGTATGATGGTTCCTTCGAATCCACTAGCTGCCAACAGGTATGGGACGGTGCTGCCGTGACCGAAAGGATCTATACTCCAACCGGTCTTCGGTGTGACATTGAGATTCGTTTTGACCCATTGATGTCCTGTGGAAAAAAAAGGAGAGAAGGTAGTTGATCGGGTTTGGGATTGCCGCTAGTCTTCTTTTACCTTCGATCAATTGATCGACCATTGCGAAAACATGAGTGTTCGCTTCATCTGTCATGACCCACCCGCCAGTGGTGATTTCCAGTCGTCCCGACTTGACCAGCTTCTTCAAGATCTAAAACAGACAAAGCATGGATAATTAGTGAATTGGTCTAGAACACTACATCGGCAACGAACCCTCTGCTTGGTGGGATGTGCCTGATCCCACCACAGCTGCAGAAAACTGATTTCGCTCCAGATGAACGACATGTTGTTGTACTCGGGCATCTTGGTGACGGCCAAGTTGAGAATCTGCCGTGAATCCGACTGGAAGTAGTTGACGAAGGTCTTCAACCACCCGGGGTCGTTGTGTGAGTGGGGAACTACCACAATCTAGTGCCGAAAAAAAAAAGTTAAAATTAACAGAAGAAAAGTTCGGCTCGGTTGGTGGCAGTAGTGGAGGACAATAATTAAACCTCGGCTGAACAATAGCTGAGAAAGTATCACATTTTCCAGAAACCCGTTGAAAGTCAACAGCACTACCACTTTTTTTGTATTTGTTTAGCAGAGCACTAGCGAATGGGGGGTGAACTCCAACCGAGTCAAGCATAGCAAAGATTAATTTGCATAAATAATCACCTTCAACGGTGGTCGCTTCGGATCCTTTTGCAGCTTCTCGTAGCGGCTCTCGAAGTCCTTGTCCCAGTACTCCTTTGTTTTCATCCATTCGGGCTGCAAAAAAAAGAATAGAAAAAAAAGAATGAAACATTGCGGGTGAGGGGACGGCAATTGAGAAAACGGTCAGTGTTTATGAATATGAGCGAAAATAGAAAAAAAAAAATTGCGGAAGAAGCGAGAAAGATTTTGATAAAATTAAATTAAAAACCAGGGCAGATTTTTTGCCCGTTTTCTTCGGTTCTCTCTGGCCGCCGCTTATTCCATCATAATTTGAATTGGCAAAGTTTTTCCCAGTGCTGTTTTCCGCTCGTTTAGTTTGTTATGTTTTTCTTTGGAAGGAGGTTCAGGATGAAGAACAGTTCAACAAGTTCCAGTGCACATTTGGGATGAATTAGATACCGACTGAACGGTTCGCTAAGTGGGCTGTAGAAATTAAGGTGTTTGAATATGCAGAGATTGAAAATCGATCATTTAGAAATGAAATTTCGGTTCTGCTACGATGATAACTATTAACTATTGTCCGAAAGTTGTTGTTTAAGGATTTTCGTTAATTTTTGTAAGTGTTCAACGTAAAATTTTCACACTAGGTTATAGCTTTTCACTATTTTTTTTTAAATATTGAAGTGGGTTATTTCATGTTATTTAAATTTTAAACACTTCTTTGGAATTTTTACCCAAAATTACTGGATTTTTTTAGCGTGTATATTTTTTTTCTGGAAAGTTAGATTTTTTCCGGCAACTTTGTTTCAGACGTCATTTTGATTGGAAGCAGCGTCCACCAAAGTCATTTTCAATTGAAAATCGTCAAGCGGTGAAGAAGCTATCAACCATCACTTTCAATTGAAAGTCATTCTTTCTTCTCTTCGAGTAAATCCCCTTCAACATCAACAGAACCACTTTCTATTAATTTTCATGCTGTTTTTTTTTTTTTTTTTTTGGATTGACTTGTGTTCATTCCGGCTTTCATTGTCAAATGAACTTACTTTCGCATTGAAGCGAATCTGTTCGATCTAAATTCGCGCAGTTTTTCTGACTTTTGTTGATTGTTGACACTCGGTTCATTTAAGTGAATGCGCATAGATCTGTGCACGTGGATGTCAAATGTATCATTGTCGGGTAGTTTGTTTTGGCTTCCGTTCGATTCCATGTATTGCCGTCACTTTTACTCCGGTGTGAAATGAAAGGGACCGAAGGAGAATAAAATGGGAATTTCAAGACCACGCACTGATCTATAGAAAAAAAAAACAACAGCACGCGTGTCACATTCCGAATTCAGAAAAAGTGGGAAATACTGACGCCGAACCATCGATATGGGTGTTTTTGGAATCGGGGTGGCGTTTAGAGATCGAAGATAGTGGCTTCCGGTTTAAGAAAATGTAGGAAATACATCAATATAGGCATTTTTGGAATCGGGATGACGTCTTGAGGCCGGAGATCGATTTCCGACGCCATTTTGAAATCCAAGATGGTGGCTTTCGATTTCATAAAAATGTGTCAAATACCCTAAAATATGGGTATAAATATTCGGAACGGGGATGACACTGTTGAAATACCAATGTTCGTATCACCCTAAGCATATGGTACACCCTAAGCGAGTTGGTAAGGAAAGAGCTACAATTGATTCTTCTGCAAACTGCTGTACAATAGATTCTACTGCAAACTGTTGTACAATAGAATATGCGCTATCTTTTACTGCGCAACTGTTTAGCTGAACTACGTGCCGTATATGCCTATACGGACAGCCGGAGAGTGTGGAAGAGTTCGGATATTGTGTAAATCGCTACCGGACTATACTCTGTATATAGATATTAATGACTAGATTTCATGTAAATAAATTATCTTTGGAATCGAAACGAAGAGTATTATTAATATACAATCTATTCGATTAGTTCACGAACCACAACAGGTTATGGGCCCAGGAGATTACTAGTATCACTGGCATATATTTCTTGAACTCAGGACGATTATAAGAATCGCTGGGTTTAAAAATAAGATCTTAAGACTTCTTAAGATATGAAGATAATTGGCTCTTCAACATTCAAAATGGAAGCCAAAGAAGACGGACAACGGCAGCGCTTGGTGATGATACCAACCTTCCAGGGAGCAGTTGGAAAGGATTACCCGTTCTGGAAAGTGAGAGTAACGCACTACCTGAAGCAGCAAGGACTATTGCACCATAGAGGTAACTCTAAGACTAGAATGTCCCGAAATAACGTGCTCAACTTTTTGGCTCAGCTCTGGTACTCTCTTCGGTCCCAAGCTAATCGATTCACCCCTCGAAACATAGGAAAACCCACTAACCCCTCATTTTATCTGTCAAACTTTCATAGCGAATCAAAACAAACATTGTGTAGTAGTAGATTTCGACTAGAATGGGATACGTCAATCGTTTGCTTGGGACCAATAGGCTAGTCAAGTAGTGAGCCAATTTAAAATCGTTAGTTTCGTATTGATTGTTGGTTGCACTGCCTGGATCGAATTCCCCCCATGGAAGAGTATGGAGATACACCGGAGGGCGCCACGGAGGAAGTAGCAGCTTTGCTGAGCGCGAAGTACCAGAAGCGCTTGAAGGAAGACGACGAGGTGGTCAACATTTTTTGGACCTCGTTGGACAACGACGCCATGGCCCGACGTCTGGCACTGTTTTCGATACGGCGCAAGCTGTATAACCTTCGGACCGCTGGATACAAGACGCTTTTGGAGCTGTTCTTGGCCCACGAGAGGCTCATCCAGGATTTGGAGAGAGCGGGTGAAGTGGTATCAGCAGGTGAAAAAGTGAACACCCTGCTAGTTGCCATTCCGGATCGCCACCAGAACATTTTGGATGCTATTGCGGTAATGTGTCAGGGCGATCTAGCTTCGATGTCACTATCGGACATTCGTAGCCTTTTCCTGGACGCCGATGAGAAGAAAGAGGAGCAACACGATTTGGAACCATCTAACGTAGCCATGGCTGCCGACAACCGGATGAAGAAGAAGAATAAGAAAAAGGAGACTCGAGCATGTTATGAATGTGGCAAGGTAGGCCACACCAAGAAGTACTGCTACCGTTTGCTGAACCAACAAAGGAAGCGTGGTTTTGAGCGGGGATGTTTCCCAGCAGAGCCCAAGCGAGAGAATTTTTCTGAACGTGCAAATATAGCACTGGTTGGTGTTTCTGAGCAGGAACATGTCCCAGCAGAACATACCGTGCGGGACCGAAATCCGTACACCTTAGCACGAGAGAATCATTAACGGTCAATACTAAATAATGCTATCACATTATTCTCTGTATCACATCTTTTTCCTTTACATTTATCTTTATTTTTCCAATATATGCAAACACCAGGTCTTAAAATTACCTTTAATTATTAGAAAAAAGGATTTAAATTGCACATATCTTGAATCAAAATCCGTACAGCGTTTTACGATTGAATCAAAATCCGTACAGTTTTGAATCGAAATCCGTACACTGTGTTGATGATGAATCAAAATCCGTACATGAATTAAATCGATCCAAATCAATGAAAAAAAAACGTGTTGCTATCTTGAATAAAGTATTTTTTTGTAGTTGCTTGGCTAAGAGTCCAAAACAGCTATATTCGTTTAAATACACTAGTTTACAGCATATTTGAACTTTGTACGCTGATGGTCATTTCCCATGTAAAATCGTGCGCTGAATCCAAAAATGTAGTCCAAAAAAATCTCGGTAGGATAGTTTTGGAGATATAGGGGTAAGAGAGGCATAGTGAACAGGTGGGGCATAATGAGCATCGCGCGTGCTCCAGCTTGGACTTCCGGCCGATCAGAACAAATTTGTTGGCTGTAGGATCAATATCTTAATTATATTGATCCTACTACCAGTTGATTTGTTTCATGCAGTTGGAGATCCAGAGCCAAAGTACGGGATGCTCACTATGCCCCACCTGTTCACTATGCCCCTCCTTCCCCTAGCTAAAAAATGAAATCACACGTAAAAAAAAAAACTAAAACACAAATATCTCTGGCTGCAATGAAGTGATATTAATTATTTTAACGCCAAATTAAATGTATTATTTCGATCGTTATAACACTATTTTTCCGTGAGAGTAATGGTAGAACCACCATAAACATTTTAATTTACATTGCTTAAAAACTTAGCAGAAATTCATTTTTTCTTAGGAAAACTTAATAAACAAACTATTAACTAACAACAATACCATCAATCTCACTGACAATTGATGTTCAATTGATCGAACGAAAAAATTTCTTTCCTCTAATTTAGCGTTAAAATAATTGATATAATCTCATTACAACCGGAGATATTTGTATTATAGTAATCAAACTTGTTTAAATTGATTTTTCATTTTTAGCTGTATCTCAAAAACTATCCTACTGACATTTTTTCGACTACATTGTTGAATTCAGTGCACGATTTTACGTAAGAATCATTCATCAAAGATTCAAGTTATTTTTTTTTTTACTTTTACTTTTTTAACTAATGATATCAGCGTTAGATTAATTGATGCTCCAATCGATTCAAAGGAGAGGTACCTGAATTCTTTTTATTTAAGAAGGTAACTGTTCTGGATTTTTATGCTAACTAATATCATGTTTAAGGATTAATTTCTTCCAAATTTTATTCTATACCAGTGCTTTGGGTTAAATATTCTTACTGGAGTTTTCCTCCGATCACAACTTCGAGGTTTTTGAAATTTGACATGTGATAACGTGCAAGATGCGCCATACTTTGGAACTCCACCAACCCACTGGCATCAAGCGATAAATTAACCGGTTCCTAAGATGGTAGCTCTATAATGGCGGATAAGTAAAAGAAAAATACAACCATAAGTAAAAGAAAAATAGAAACCAACAAAAAAAGACAATGAACTGACATCAAGGATTAGTTTTTCGTTTTGTGCATGAAAATTAAAATTGGTAAAATAACGACTATAACTTAATTTAATTTAATGCGTCAAGAGAGTAATAATCATAAAAATACAGATCTTTCATTGCTTCTTTTCCACAGCTTTCTTCTGCTTCTTCTCCATTGTTACTATTGCCTTTTCAGGTTATAATGCTTTCTTGCTTCCAAC